GGCCCCGACCCCCAAATCTCAAATCTCTTGGGGATTCGCGCGGCTTCTCGCATGTCATTTTCGGAGCCTAGAGTGCCCCGAGACGGGCCAAGAGGGCCTCGAGAGGTCCCCAGGATGGTCCAAGAGTCTCCGAGTCACCGAGCGATCGGACCAAGAGGGCTCCGAGCCGCCTATCCTCATCCCGCTCATCCTAATCCTTTTCTCGCTCATCCCTTGCCTCCAATATCAAAGTGCGTATCGTGCCTGTGCCTCAATGGTTTAAGTGCGTGTCGTGTCTGCGTCGCTAATGTTGAAATTGAAGTCCCAACGGGGCCACAGAAAGCCCGAACGGGCCACGGAAAGCCCCAACGGGCCACAGAAAGACCTTGTCTCGCCGGTGGCCGACAGCACGCCCGCGCCTCGGCCAAGCTGGCTCTGGCGCTGGCGGTATGCGGCAAGAGCACCCGCCCAGTGTGGCGCGATATGTCTTGAGCCGAGCAGCAGCCGGAGGGACAAGCGCGGGATGATGAAGCGGAGGGGGATGCAGAGGGAAGGCGACGGGGCCACGATGGCAAAAACTCTTCGTCCCTGCGCAGGCTGGGCCAGCGAGCCTCTTTCGGCGATCAGTGGGCGGTTGGGGGTCTTCGCGGGGAGCAGGGACGGCTCGGTCTCGAGAGGCCCCCAAGGCACCCCGAAACCGCCGCGGCAGGCAGGCTTCTGAGAGGTCTCCCGGGCGATCCCAGAGGCATCCAAAAGGCCTCTGACTCACAACCAGCGTGCTGCCACAAGGGGCGCTGGATAAGAAACGAATGGGCTCTCCTGGCCACGGCGAGGCTCGGCCACGAATCGGTTCCTCGACCCGGACACGAGGAGCGGCCTGACCATCAGAGAGCCCCTCCTGAACCCCAGGTGGTCCTGACTTTAGCGTCCTGCGCGGCGGGATGGGGCGAGGGCCATCGGAACCTCCGCCCCCTGTGCTTGCCACAGAAGTGCCTGGCGTCATGCATCGCTTATTCCTTGGAACCCTTCCAGACATGTCCCTGATGGCTTTCAGCGCCTCCGTCCAGCCATACGGAAAGGGGGCAGGGCAAGGATCTCTCCGCCCAAGGTGGCCTCCGGTGCTGCCCAGGTGTCCCCAAGAGAACCCAATAATTATGGTCACAAGGTGTCTCCAAGACGGTCCAAGATGGACCCAAGACGGCCAAAGATGGCTTCAGCACTGCCCAGGAGGCCCCCAAGACGCCCCAAGGGGGCTCCACGAGGACCTCCAGGAGGCGACCACAATTCATGTGCCCCAGAAGCTCCCGAAGAAGTCCGCGACAAGCCTCCGAGACGCCTTCCAGAGGAGGGAGGAAGAGGAGCAAGCAGGAAGTAAGATGATGATGATGAGTAGGAGGAGGAGGAGGAGGAGGAGGAGGAGGAGGAGGAGGAGGAGGAGGAGGAGGAGGAGGAGGAGGAGGAGGAGGAGGAGGAGGAGGAGGAGTAGCAGGGAGGAGAACAAAGCTGAAGACAAGGGGGTGTATCAAACTCGCGCCCGTTTAGACCGAGCGCTGAGCTGAAGCGGGTTTTGGAGTCCTCCTCCTCCCTGCTGCGCTACTGCGCTGGCACTGTGGTGGGAGTTGTCGCAGGCAACTTGACAATAAGGACTGCTCAATACAAACGTTCATGTTGAAGGAGCCGCAGTGCGCAAGAGCGCGGCAGGGAGAGTAACGACAGCCATCCAAAAGTGGAAAC